GTTGTAAGATAACTTATTAATGCAAATGTGTTAAAAAGCTTTTGCTGTAATGAAGTTAATGAATTAATTATGAAGTTAATAAAATTTACTAATTTTTTTTCATTTCTTGATCACTTCTTTACTATATTAAAGTTTGATCGGAGGAAAAATTTCTCTTCGTAAAAAAGTTTGCCGCTATTTTATCGGAATTCGTTGTTGCGCCGAATTTTTGCAGTTCATCGCCCGCACGCAAATTTACGCAAAAACTGGCTACGTATCACACAATATTATAAAATAAATTACGTTTGAGTAAGCGCGATTACTTAATCCCTGCGCGAACTTAGCGTTTTGTTACTACGAGGCCATTAATTGCAATGCGGAATAGGAGCGTTTTAAGTGCAGATAATGCAGCGAAACTTTGAGATGTAAAAGCATGGTAAACTCTACTGATGCTTACACATTGAACTAATACTTTATACGCAAATATATATCCGGCGTAAAGTAAATAAGATATTGTTTGGGAACTACTCGCACCGCACCGAAACGTTCGCAAATTTAACTTCGTTGGGTTATCGTTCGCCATTTCGTCTTTACATATTATAGCGATCCGTGTAACAATGCTAGCCGTGTAACAATGTTGCAATTTAATAAAAAACAGAGCGCACACAAGCGTGTTTATTGGCCGTTCGATTTACAGCGTTTTTGTAAACACTCTATCATTCGACATTAAATATTACTCTTAAATTAATATTCTGTTAAATTAAAGTCCACACTTAAATTTGCATAATACGTAAGCCGTTGCCAAAAGTTTCTAGAATTTTTTATTTCTTAGAGCTCCAAAACAACCAATGTTTTACGATGTTCGTACAAACGCTGCTTTCTTCAATTTTTCTTTGCTTTTTAAAACGCAAGTAAAAATAACGCATAAAGGTTGAATATTTTCACTATCGTGCGAAAGCAGTGACGGTGAGTTTCGACAGTATCTTCGATCACGGTCCCCTTCGCGAAATAATAAATCGTACTTTGTGCGACATAATCCGCTTCGGTGTGGATCGCACCCTTCACGCGTGCATCATATCTTCTTTTTTTTACCGAATTGCCACGCAGCCGGTAATACGCGAAGGGTTGGCGGCATTCGTGCACTTCATCGTCAGGCGAGACTCCAGCCGCGCCGTCTTCCGATGAAACGATTAATCCAGAAATCGATTGCCAGTTCTCGTAGGTCGAGCTCGTCGACCCGTATCGCGCCGAGAATGCAGTCGCTGTTATCTATGTATGTACGCAAGCGTCGGCATGCAAATATTTCGGCGCACGGCGATTATGTATCGTATATTCTAGAAGAATAATTGCGCTAATGAAGTCGCTTCACGCTTGATCGCTCTCGTTCGTTATTACGGTAATAGAACCATTCCATCCGCGATACTTGGGTAGTAAAATGTTACGATAACGCACGCTAATTGATACTTTCGCCGCAGTTGCGGCGTATCATTTAGATAATTTAATTTCTTCTAAATAGTATTAATCAAGATACAGTTTTGCACTGCTGGTGTGCGAAGCACTCTATTTAAAATCAGTGAAAAAAATAATAATTAAAGCGGATATCGGTAAAGAATTTTTAACTTTAATAAATGATTGGTTTAAGTCATAATTGTTTTTATTTTTAAAAACTTATATCGCGCGATAGAAAAACAAAAATTTTACCTCGATGCGTGAATCTATCTAAAAATAACGATCACGGAATATTAAATTATTTTTGCATTTGTAAGATCGGCTTTTAAGCTTCGAAAAACTTCTCTATATGCAGAGAGGAAAAAAGATTAAGAGAACGTCACGATTAGTCCGTCTCGTCTGTAGTCTATGAATTCCACTTGCGAAATAACGAGATGGCAGCGATTTATCATCTCTTGACTATTGATCTCTCTTGACTTCTGTATCAGCAACACGAGAGGAGCCTTGAATCCATTTAACATTCTTCAGTCTTTAATTGCTTCCGCTTTCTTGCCAATTACTTTTTGCTTATCTTTCCACTTTGCATAGTTTACACTCCAGTTTTATGACCCGCTCGTTACAGAAAAAAATAATTTACTACATTGACATTGTACTGTCTTAAACTGTCAATGCTCTTGGAGCAGAAATATTACTGCCACCAACTGCAATATGCGTGATCGCGATGCGATATTGCTTGTCAAAATAAAATTCTTAAAAAGATCGACACAGTACGTGCATTAATGTCTTATCATTACCGAGCTCATTATTAACGCTTGAAGAACTGGCGTACGAAATAGAGCGATACTCATAAAGATACATCGATATAACGCACATCTACAATTACTATCATAATTGAACGTATGTTTCGCGTACGGTTCTTTAAGCGTGCAAAATCTAACATCCGTTTCGCCGCGTCCCGTGCCCGATACGCCATACGATCTGTACGAAAACGGAATTTCGCGTGACACGTAGCGAAGTGCAGTGTCACAGCGGGGAACGCACGCACTGGGAAACTTGGTATTGGGAAAACGTTGCGTGCTCGGAATTTCATTGCAAACGTTACCGGCCGCACATCGCTGTTTGTCACGTCGCGCACTCTCGATGGCCGAAATACATATTTTCTGTAAATAAAATGCAATAATTCCAAAATTAATTGGGATATCGTAAACCTCAAACACCAGCTGTCGAGGAAGGATATTAAATCCAGAATAATTAACGTACGTGCGAAAATGGTAATTCTGCCGTTCACGCCTCGTTAAGAGAAACGCGAACGGCTCTCGCGGTCGCAGTTCGTTAACATTTTGCAAAACAACGTGGCCACGTGTTCTTGCGCTCGACGCACATGTGTACGCCTGACTCGGTATTTTGCAGTCGTCGCTCCTGCGATCGGTTATTTGATGCGAAATGCGCCGGTTCTGGTAAGACGATCATCAAACCGGCGTCGAATTTCGCATACCCTCGGTGCGCGTTTCATCGATTTTCTACCACCTTGAATTATCGTCTAAGAGAGAAGCGAGCAGCGGCTCCGCTCCGAGCTGAACGATCGCGCTGAACGGAAATGTGGGGCAGAACGTGAAGTGGTCTATTCGCGCGAGAAAGAGGGAAACGGAGAACAAGATATGTATATACGTGTCCTATGGATTCTATTCGAGGGCGAATTGATGTGCGGCGTACATTGTGCGAAGATGAGTGTCGCCGGATTGTGACGACCCTCGATCGCGGCTAATTGCTCTTTCCTCGTTTTGCGCGGAAATTAACGCTTCGATGTGCGTTTAAACGTTGTTGACAAACATCGTTGGAACAAACGCTAATAATTTGAATGCTTTATAAACACAGTATAATTATATGTTAAGAAATCATTTCTCGTTATTTTCTAAATTAAAAAAATTTTTTTCTTTAAAAAGACTTGCGAACAATTTAATTACAAAAAAAACCTCGTTTTGCGCGGAAATTAACGCTTCGATGTGTGTTTAAACGTCGTTGACAAACATCGTTGGAACAAACGCTAATAATTTGAATGCTTTATAAACACAGTACAATTATATGTTGAGAAATTATTTCTTGCTATTTCCTAGATTATAAAAAAATTTTTTCTTTAAAAAGACTTGCGAACACTTTAATTATAAAAAAAACCTGTTATTAATTTATGTCAATATATTACGTAGTCTAAAAAAATAAGAATTTTCAGATTAAGTAATCGATTTTATCAATTAGATTTATCAAGCATAAGAGACTAAATGTTTTTATCGTTAGTAAAAATAAAAGTGTGCATAACTTGCTTTCGTAAGCGTTATATCAACTTGCTTCCGCACTTATATCTATCAAGATTTTCAACTGCAAGGCTTTTTGCTTGTAATCCTCGTTCTAGTGGTTGCGTTTCGGCTAATGCTGGTGATGTTTTGCTCAGTAACTTCTACACACCGCCTGTACCAGCCGTAGCTTCTTGCTCCTTCCTGTTACTTGCGTATTATATTAAGCGTAATTATTTTATTGAGTTTCGACAAGTTTGAGCACAAGGCAGTTACAATCTCTCTCTAGTTAATATTTTAATCATCGTGTTGCTCTATTCATAAAACTGATTTGCGTATTAATTATGCGTAACAAATCATTATATGGATACTTGAGGAATCAATATTGTGATGAAAATATTTTTTTTTATCTAGGTATTAAATTTTCTAATAACTAGAACAATACAGCGTACTTATTATGATAGTTTAATAACCGTTTAATATTATTATAATAATAATCTTCGCTGTCAAACTGTCAAACTGTCAGAATAATCGAGATAACCAATCAGCGTCGCGGAAAAGATGCAACAATACTTTCGAGACTTTCGAGATTTTTATACATTTAAGTATCGATTTTTCATGCCTTTTTTGAGAGTGGATATTTATATTATTTATACAGACATTATAAAAATGGTGATAAATTATCATATATATATATATAAACATGTACAAAAAGATAAATAGAAAAAGGAAAATTAATACATATAAATCACATAAAAATATGAAACATATAAAACATATAAATCATTGGTAAATTAATTGGAAAATTGTTTTAGCATTTTCTTTATTCTAAAATACATGAATAAATGTTAAATCTTTCTCAATTATACCCAAAATAAATTTCTATTAGCCTCTTTTTTAACATTAATTATGATTAATTGAGATTAAAATGTGATATACATGACTCAAAAAGAAGCAATTTATGTTTTGCGTACCGCTAAAAATAAATATTAAAATCACATTATATGAATATTGAATATTATTTCGCACAGAGAAAGCTAAATTTCGCGCAATCAACGGATGTTTACATATTACAATTTTGCGTCCCAAATATCAAATGTTGAATGGAGCATGAAAAAAAGGTGCTCACATGAAGGAAAGAATATGCGGAAATGGAAGTAGAAAAACAAGGACAAAGTCGCGAGACAGGACGACTGTTTTTAGGTGGTGGTGATGGTGGTGGTGATGGTTGAGCGCCACTGAGGTCTCGCCGATTCCCCTTCTCCTTTATCCTGCGCCCGCTGCCTGGCGCGTCGCGCTGCCAGTCGGCGGCGGGCTCTCGTGGCGTACGTATCGTGTTGTATTGGGTTAGTGTTTTCTCCCTCCCCTTCCCCTCCCCCCATCGCTCGTACATTATTCGCGTAACCGACAGTGATTACGCGACGTCTCGTCTCGGAGTCGCGACGCGTCGCGTCGGCACGTGCCCGGGCGTCGAAAAATCCAGCTCGGAAAGAGACGATTTGAATTCTGTAGTACGGTGTCGGTTCCCGTTCTCGGGTCGGTGCGTTTGTTTTGACATGTGTGTGGACTGCCATATTGGATTACCGCATCGCTGCTGTCGTCGTCGTCGTCATCAATGCTGCGGAACATCTAGACGTGAGATGCAACCACGGTGCTGAAAAAGGTAAGCGCAGGACGCGATGCTCCCTGCCGGCGCGATGTCGCGTCGAAGACGCGAGGCGTCGTCCTCGTTTCTACGTACACGCGCACGGAAGCGCGGCGTTTTCGGGTCCGCTCAATAACGAGCGTCGTCGCCGACGCGCGAACGGCACGGGCGAGAGTCCGCGTTTAAGCATGATGTTCCGCGCTCTGTCTGACGCAAGCGTAATGATCAATGTCAACCTCAAAGTCGTATTCGGGCAGCCGCGTGTGAATCGAGAGATGCTCCCCGGCTGGCCGTGGGCCGCGCGTTTTCGAAGCTGAGACGAGCCGAGCGGAGCTCTTCGATCGCGTGACGCGCGAAATGGCGCGCCGCGTCTCGCCGCGATCTCACTCGCTTGTTCGCACTTGCAATCTCGGTTTTTTGGGCCGTATCGAATGCGATTTAATGCAGCGTATCGATTTTCATTTCTTTATGTTAACATGAACGCAACGCTCGCTTTATAGACGAGTCATTTATTTGGAAAGTATTGTGAATCTAATTTTGCGTTATCAATATTTTACCAAAATTTGCATTGTTTTAAAATTTTAATTACATTGTTATTTTATAAGTAAGTTTGAATCTAAATGTACGAAATACGGAATACTGTTCGAAACTCCGAATTCGCTTTTAGCGATTCAATGGTTGAGCACTGAAGCGCACTATAAATGATTGCTCGATTTATTATTATTTATTTTGTAGTCGCTGTGAAAGGTAGAAAAAGCAACATTATGTACGCTAGACTTGCTTATCGCTTACGACTTGAGCTAGTACGAGGGCAATATACGCGTTTCGATACGGATCTCAAGAAGTGAACGCTGCGTTTATTTTTCTCGCATCTATTTAACTACCTCCACTTACAGGCGGAAACAATCTACTGCTCCGTAATAGATTGCGCTCCATCATTTTACGGTAACATTTCAATATCCTTCAATCTGCTTAATCGTAAAAATTTTAGATAGATTTTACAATACATTGTCGAGATTCCTGTATTCTAGCAAAAGTGAAAAGAATTTAATCCTACTAGCTTGGCGAGTCGAAAAAGAGAATTCTATACGATGTGTTTGAAATTTAACGCATGATTGAAAAGCGATGTTATATTATGGATGAGCTAGATACACAACACTCTCTTGACTCGATTATAAAGGTGAAAAGTGAACGTTCTCTTCCGCGGCGGCGACTGGTTTCTCGCCAAGGATCGGTTTCGATACAGGCCGACGAGCTCGTGTAACTCGCACTCGAGTTACATAACGCAATTACTCGGGTGATCCGTAATGACGACGTGAATCACACCTTTCGCTCGCAGATACGATGAGCCATACGCGACGCACATACGGCGGATGTAAACGACTCTTGATTGCGTAGGAGAGCGAAGTGATATCATTCGCGAAGGTGCTCGTGAATACACTGTATTCCAGCTATGCGTCATTCGTTCGACATTGAATATCGTGTCAGCGATAAATTCAGCATATCGTGACTCCCGATCGTTGTCATTGACCCGTCTAGCCGATGTTTTTGCGTACAAACAATTCGCAAGTTGTCATTACTTTGTCCATGATTATTCATAGAAGAGATAAAGTTTTATTTTACGTTCTAAATTTTTCAGACACGCTCTTGACTCGATTGTAAAGGCTAAAAGCGCGCTTTGTTTCGATTTTACCTGTCGATTTTCTCACGAATCTTTGTCGGAGTCAGTTTCAGATTTAACGGTACAAATCGTTCCGTGAAGAGAGAGCCGGCTCGAAACACAACGCGACGGACGCGCGAACGAAAGAATGGCTTTTCTTCTCCGGCTTTTACGTCGGTTCACGCGCAGTCGACGCTAATATTTTTTGTTCGGGACTTGCGCAACGGAAAGAAATAATGGAGATCGTAACAAGTTACGGTCGTGGCTTAAAATTAGACTCGATGCACAAGTCTGCCTGCGCGCGTTGCTCGATTCATTTGCGACGGCTCGTATTCGTGTTCCTCTTTTGGTCACTCTGTTTCGCTGCGGTAACAAAGGAAGGCAACGAGCCTGAAAGCAAAACAGGGGAGCAGGAGGAAAGAGAAAGAGAGTAGATGCGTGCGGTGTATGCCGCGTTCATGCGCGCGCGCGCGCGCGCTCGTCTCGTGCGTGACGAAAGAGCGCGGAAGGGTCGCGAAGACGCAGCTGTACCGAGGTTTGCACGGGGATTTAAATACGTGCGTCGCGCACGTAATCCCGTAATCCGGTAATCAAGCCGTCATAAAAGGTTTCGGCGTTCACACGTTTACTATAGCGGGGCCGCGAGATCATTCGTTGATCTCGAGAGAAATGTCGCGTTGCACAAGGTGAGGCACGTAGCATGAGACCGCGTCTGAATTTTCTCAAGAATTACATTGCTATATATATATATATATATTTTATACAGAAAAATCAACATTATTTTCATTAAGTTAAGTGACAAGAAATATGTATACGGAGCAGATGCATGTAATGTCTTTGTACACCTACGCTTTCATGAAACTTTTATGAGAGATATAAGAAAAGTAAGAAAAATACTAGCTTGAAAGATTAAAAGACGGAATTAAATTTATTAAGGAACAGTGTGCTTTGTATATGCACTCAGTCTTATTCGTAGCTTTTAGAGCTTCTATCTAGATGAATTATTCACATTTTCTCGACGTATGCAACTAAATTGGTGAATAACGAAAGACAGCATCAATTTATAATGATAATATTGAGAATAATAATTATTGATAAGGAAAAAGATGGAAAAATTAGAGAAATAAAAGAGCACATATATCACTGAAACAATGAATTACCAACAAATCGTAGCCTCTTTAAGTTTCATGAGACGAAAGTCACAGATGGAGGCAACTCGCAGCCAAAAGATACGGAAGTGCCCCATATTATCCCCTATCCCATATTATCCAACTTTTCCCTATCCATAAATCCGCAGCTGCTGAACTCGAAATAACACAATATCAAAATTCGATAAGCATCTACCGCGAAAAATAATTGTGATTAATGGACATTTTATACAGCATAGTTTGTGTAATCTAGTATATCGAAGTTGCACTCTAGAGAAAAATTGAAAAGATATTTGGAATATATATACTTTGTTACATGTATTTGAGCTAAAGTAAATACACAAAAAAAAGAATAGAATTACTTGGAGACACTTTGGATATTCTCGTGTTTCTCCTGTTACGCAAACATCGCCCGTGTAACATCCTCCACAAAAGAAGTATAAAAACATTGAACGTGACCTGATTCACTTAGGTTATTCATAGCGGTACACACTCTCGCAAAAGTTTATTGGAGCATCGTGTATCTAACCGAGTGGCAGATTGAAGATGACGCAAGCATACGAGAGAGAGCTGTGAAAGAATTAATTCGTTGCCGAGCGTCATTCGAACGATACGCCTGCCTACGCCATACGTAATTTCGTTTTATAGTCTTTCGGATGTAAAAGATAATTGGACCTTGTCGGTATTATTGATCCGCGTTATATTAAGCGCGACAAAAAAGAAATTACCCGAATGTACATTAAAGTGCAACATTACTGTCGGAATTATACTTGATTTAATTAACGGTTTGCGACGGGAAGAAAATGATCAATTGGAAACAGTGTTAATTGCAATTTTTCTCTCTTTTATTAAAATTTCTCTATTTCCCACGTTAATGAGAGAGATTAAGGGTTAATTTTGCTTCCCCTTAGACCGCAAGCTTTGTGAATCTCTGTACAAACTCATCGCGAGAGACTACTAGGGGTTTCGCCTTAATTAACTGCCCTAAATTTGCGCACGCGCGCGGAGAGGGAAAAAAAAGAATCTGTCAAAGGAGCGTTTCTCAGATTAGAGCCTCGCCTTTGTCTCGCCTTGCTTTTTAATGGAACTTAATTAATTTTTCGTCCATCCGACGCGGCTTAAGCCGGCTAATTAGCCTTTATAAAATTGATCGTTTGTATGAAATTTTCGGACATTATTTTGCAGTCATGTGAAGATAATCAAGAAGATATATAAGTTTGTGCATTTTGTAAAAGCTGCTAATACAATTATTAATAATAATGATTTATTATTACAAAATATGTTGCTTTTTCTATATTATAGATTTTTTGAATCAATTAATATAACGCTTTCCATTTATTTGTATAAGATAGTTAATATTTTTCGAAATAATAAGATTAATTTGGATAATTATGTAGTCGACGCCGATTGATTTCACGAAATCGATCTCCGGTCCGACGAAATCCTAGAAGAGTAAACCGGATTCGTTTCCGGTCGGAGGAAGAAATATAACCGTTAGCGTTTGCCGCCGCAAGAAATTTACATGCAAATGTTTGGTGATCGATATTCTCCGACCGATGCCGATCGCGCGCAGCACCTTTCTTCCTCCGTCTTTCGCGCCATGTACAGCGTCGCTCTCATCACTTCCCGCGGGTTCTTCGGTCGGGTGTTTACCCTCGAAGAACAACGAGAACGTTTCGCTTGGCGCCGCGCGGCCAGCAAGATGCAAATTTCCGAATCAACAATTTAAAGCCGTCTACTCGTTTAATTAAGGGTTTCGTAGTTTCTCCAGCCGTTAGAAGCCTCGATTTATTTCTTCACGGAGATAAATCGGATACGGCGAACTTGTTTCAAGTACTCGAGCTGGCGATAACGATGCGTCTTGTTCCTGTGGACTTTTCTCGGCTTTCGCGATTGCAGTCAGAGTTTTTTTCACCGCGCTGTCCCTTTTGCTGGACATTGTGTATGGATTGTGACGCGACCAAGGTAAATCCGCATTACGCGCCATTGATTTTTCTCGCTGCTATTATTATGCGCCATTGAATCCCCATCCGTTATACGCAACGCGACGTGTCTTACCACACCCAGTTTCATGTGGAACTTAATTGTTTAGTAGGTGCAGCATGTGCCGGACTAATATTTGCTCGACTGTCGCGCATAATCAGTATCTCTGCCCTCGGAAACATTTCTTCGCGACAAATTCAATTTTCTAACGCATGTCAATTTTGTCACGGAAAAAGACCTGTCTCTGGCAGATTAATATTGCAATTTGTAGTGATATAATAATTTAATATTACTCTCTATTTACATATTTTTATCGCGAAAAATGTATAATTGTACCGTTTTGTATGAAGATCACCAGAATGATCGCTATTCACCAGCTCGTACACCGCAGATGCATTTATTCCGCGTATTGCATTATATCGGGATCCAAGTGTAATTCGTCGCAGCGTGTATAACGCGTTTTCGTTTAACGAGCCGACAAATGGAGCCCTTGCAAAATGTCCCATCGTCGCGAGAACAAAAAGCCGTCCCCTGACCCCCCCCCCCCCTTTCGACTGCCCTTGGCTGCGCGAGCCCCGCGGCTAACATCTGTTACTCCCTGTCGCTAATTGTTATTGCACGTACGATGGTGCACATTGCCTACAGTGACGGCCATTAAGCTTCCCCATTACATTATTGCCGGGTCGGTCGGGCTGGTCGATGGCAGTGGTTTTTGAGGCTCCTTTTCGGTCGACGAGCACTTTTAACAGTGAGCACTCGCGCTTTGCTAGCGACGATTTCTCGGCTAGCGCTAAAAGCATGATTTACGCGTTACAGGATTAAAAATATAGCCGCGCGAGCGATTACGCAAACCCCATGACATCCGACGCTGTAAACTTCCACGGCTCTGCCACGCTTTCCACAGAAATAGGTGACTGACTGCGGGCAGATGCTTTTGCGTATATATACAGACGCCGGTTTAACCAAACGCACGCGTTTATTTTTGGTAACGTCTTTGGCGGAGTACGTCTTTACGGCTGCACATCTCTTTCAGCGGATTATTACTTCACGCGCTATTACCGTTTTTACGTCTATATCGATTGTAAAAACGTAAAAATATATTAAATTAATAAAGGGCAAATTATTTAGGAAACATAAAGATAATTTAATGGGCTTAGTTTTTGACACTCGAGATATTAAACAGTACACCTATGTATTGATAAGTAATGAAAATTTTTTCGATGGATCGAATTGTCTAACGTATTTTTATTATTCTCTGTTACAGAACGATCTATACTTACGGATCGAGCATGGAATCTGTCATGGAATCTACAACGATTGCACGGCACAGTTAAGGTAAGCGATTTTTATTAAGTGCTACGCACATTTTCATTAACATCATTGAAAAACTCAACCAATTGTGAAATAATTGTCTTTCAATTTTATTATTTTTGAAAAAGTAACAACGTTTTCGTATCTGAAGCGATACAATTCAACAAAATAAAATTGCAACTGTCAAGTTTTTGCAACATTTAGATGTAGTCATCAAAGAATTTTTTTACAATAATATTTTTATATTGAAAATGGAGGGAAGTTAAAAAGTAGTTAAAAGAAATTGGTTAGTTGCAGCATTATTCCAGCCGACAGTTCAATTAGTTTACATCGTGCAATTAATTAGATCGCGCATTTTCTCAGACTTTTCGCACGTTTAACCTTTTTTTATGCGATACGACAATTATGTTGTTTAGATAATGTTACTATTTTGCGTTTAAACGCCAATAAAATGCCATTTAAAACCAAAATAGCACAGGAAAGTTGCACCTATGCTCGTTACGATTCGCGTATAAGCGTTAATTGCAGGTCATTGGGTCAAACTAATGATTCTCTGTGTGAAACCGTATTGCGTATCAACGATTTCTCAATCTACTGCACATACCTATAAAACCAATGAGCAGTAATGTTATGAGTTATTATTAGTTCAAAACTTAATAAAGTTAAGAAAATAAATTTAATATTACAGGGTAAGAAAAAATAAATCAATATCGGTATCAGAACACGTAATCAAGTTTTTAAAATGTGTATAAAAATACGCAATTACACATCAATCGAAACTGCGAGATTATCACAATAAAATATAAAATTTTAAATATAATTAGCGTGAATCTTGTCACAATTTAGAGTCACATTTGAGATGTCAGATATGACGAATCTTAGAGAGGATCTTCAGTCTTCAAAAATATGTTATCAAGTTTAGATTGCAATTTTTTCTTGATCTTTCCCGATGATTACTAACGTACAATAAGTATAATCCAAGAATGAACAATTGCACGTAAGTGAAGTCTTTGAGAGAATTCGCAGTCGTCGACAATGTTATCGGGCGTAAAAACAATATCTCATAACAAAAATAAGACAAACGATCAGCACTGTCTGCGATTCATGGAGAACCGGCATTTCCGCGCGAGATAATTGCTTTTTTCACTCGTGCTCTTTCTCCTTTCCCGGCGCTTTCGACGTATCGTGGGAAAAATATATCGATCGTGGCTGGCGCGGGTGTAATCGTACGGTCTGCAACACTGAGCGCGGTAACACGACCGTCGCTTCTTGGAAATGCTACTGCCAACTCGAAGAAATTTATTACATTTCTTTTAAGACAGCTTGAAAAATAAAACCTTGTACGAACATAAGTCGTATAAATATTTGTAAATTTTTATGAATATAAATAATTATGATAGCTTAAAAATTTTGTCAAAAGAGTGAAAATAAATAAAAAATTCGGACAATAAAGTTAGACCGAATTTTTGTTGGAGATAAATTTTAATTATATTTCCTGTCGCATGTACGTAAAGCATACGCACATTAGTTCTTTTTCCGCGAGTTATCCCGCATACTATACCGTAGCTCTCAGGTGTGAGACTTAATGTAGTTAGCTGCACGCGGAAAGAGGAAAGTTTTGAGTAATATTCATGCGTTTGCCTGGGAAAGACTTATACCGTGCGTAATAATTTTTCTCGCGAAAATGGCGCTCGGCTTTTTTATTTTTCGCGACAGTCGCGCATCCTTGATGTTCGAGATTATTAACTTCGCAGATTACCTCGAGATTAACTTTTTGAGATTATTAACGTCGCTGCGAAAAATATTTCTACGCCCATTAAACAGCTAAAAAAAAAGAATCAACGACAGCACCTTTCTATTCTGATTTCCCTTACATAGCGCAACATATCACGCGTATCATCCTCTCTCTGTAAAAACTTTCTATTATTTGGTAGTAAAATGTTCTCTCGTGTGTCTCTTGCGTAGAAATTTATTTTTAGATCATATTGAAATGAAGCGTCTTATTCGAAAATGCATGTCATTCTTGGCAAACGTACATTTGCGATAAATCGCGAAGTAAGTTTTAATATGCGAACGGCAGATTTTTATAATTCAACAATTAAATTGTATGATAAATATAATTTCACAATTTGAGAATAGAAAAGTATATTTTTTATTATGAGTGATGCAATCCAAGTTGGTACATATTAGAAATATTTCCTCGTATTTTTACAAGATGGCAAAGCAAACAAGTTGAAAGTGCATTGTTTGGCAAAACTATGCGCGATCAGAATGAATTATTAGTTTTCTTGTACATGTAGCAGCGCTGGCAATTTCAAAACAAGGAAAGTTTTTGGATTCCTTCCAAATCCGATGCTTCGTCATTGGACTTTTCGTCGGTTGTGCTACACAAATAATCATAAAGACATCTGTCTTTTTAGAATACTTTTCTTTCAATCCTAGAAAAGTTCCAAATTTATCTGTCACTGAAAAATAATGGGGATGAAAGATCTTGTTTATAGATAAAAATATAACTTTTTATATACTAGGTTTCAAACATTAAAAACGTAGATCGAAAATTACATTAAAAGCTACTTTACAAATTTCGTGAAGTAAGGAATTATATAATTTTAAGTTTTTGATAATGCTGTCAGATATTCTATGATAAAAAGCTTAAGATATTTAAGATGCTGAAAGCGTTCAGATACATAAAGGTTGTAAATGCACTTTTTGCGTCGAATGTTTTCAATGCGACGCACGTTGCTGCATCGGATTCAGTTGGCAAATGTTGATACAGACGAGCGAAATAATAGACGACGGCCGTGTAAAAGAAATGAAATGTTCTTAATGAACGAGAACGCCACGCGATCATTGAATGCGCGCCGTGTATGTTTTATGCGTGATGAATAGCGTGGTATATGCGAGAACTTAGCGAGTGGAAACGTATAAGCTTTTTATCCGCAAGTCGTACGCATGAGTCGAATCACAGCGAAATAGAATGCATCTGCTGAAATGGAGGATTGCGATTGTCGTATTGGAGAAGATTTTTCTTCCGGTTCAATAGCGACGAATTCGGTATTTTTGCACACGTTCTCGTTCTCGTTGGCGAATAACTGCGATTTTCGTAAAATAATTGGTTTTTTTCGACGCGGAATGGTTACCGACTATCGTTTAATATCTTTTAGATTGTTGAACATAAAAACTGAAACAGAAATTTATAAACTAAAATATGTGGTGAATAAATAATCGGTAGATTAAAGTTTCGGCGAAAAAATTACATTTTCTCGCTGTAGAAATTTAAATATTCTAAGTAATTATTTTAATGAATATTGCGCACGTAGTTGAGTCAAGAAGGGAGGTATAGTTATACAAATGTGGAAAATTAGTCAGAATTAAAAATTGCCGCAATGTTTATTAAAACTTCCAGTTTGTCTAAGGTTTAATTTTGACGTTACCGCTGTTTCCGCATATCTTCGCATATCTTCGCATATCTTTTCATTCGAATAGAACCGAATACAGGAAATGTTCGTGAACCTAGCATATTATTTTCCAGCAGATCAAAAATAAAAGAGAGTTCTTGTCGCATGCAGTCGAGTTCTATAGTTCCTTATAGTTTTTAGTTAATAGTTCTGGTGATTTTATCCTAAAAAAAACAACCAATCGAAAAAATAAGATCTGCTAACTT